AAAATTTATAGCATGCTCTACTTTCTGATAAAGACAGTGCTTTTTTAGAAACGGTACGTAATTTTTATTTGTTTGATCACAGTCACTTATACCGCGTTCCTTACATCGTTTATGTTCGCCAAATATATGGCTAGGAATATTAAGTATATCTTTTTGTAATTCTATAGCCATCTTATGTTCAGGTATATTTTCTTTTTTTCGCAAATTTATTGCTTTTGTTATCTCTCTTCATATATTCAATATGTTGTTTTTTACAACATTTCGTAACAAAACAAAACCCCGCTTTCTACTCACTCCTTTTTGTTGAGTTGTCCCTGCTACATTTTTCAACTTTTTGCATAGATTGCGAGGCAAATGATTGGTGCATTCTATTTTTTTAACAGTAATCTTTTGTTCGCTATATGGTTTGCTATCAAGGATGGCCTGATAAACGCTACTATCACCATCGGCAATAAGTGTTCTAAATTAATCCATGCATTTCGAGACTCTTTTTGAAACCTTCTACAATGGCGTCGCTCTTCATGCGCATAGAGGTCTCATTACGAAATTTTTGTAACATTTATGATTTTTCGGTTCTGTCCCGTTTCGTTCCACTAAATCACAGATGCAGCAGTATTTGTTGCGGACACCAACAAAAAGTACTTTTTTCGTGCGGTAACCAAGTATAGCACCAACACCGGAAAGTGAATCATAAGTGGTATCATACGATCTCTTCCCCCAACTACCATCTGCTACTACGGTTATATACGGAATGCCGTTTATAATTTCGTTTTTCTCAATAGCTAATTGTTTTTCAGCTTCGGCAGCCATTTTCATATTTTCTAAGGCTGTTTTCTCAAAGTCATCGATTATATTATCTCGATTTTTTATATAACTTTTTTCGGACATAGATGGAATATTCATGGCTGTACACAACTCTTCCAGCTGAGCAAAACCAATTCCACCTAATTGTTCCTACTACAGCAGCCGTATGAATGTCTAATGTTTCCGACTCTGTGGGTTCTGACTAAATGCTAGTTTTGTAATGGCATGTTTTGCAATAAAAGAAAAACTGCGTCTTAAACCCATGACGACAAGAGTTTACGAGTGTCCAAGAATTAAATCCACACTCTACTCCTTTTTGATGATATTGATATTCTCTACGGATTTCTTTCCATAGAAAAGCAAAGTCGACAATGCGACGACCTTCAGGCAAATTTTCTTTGATATCATCTTTATTCAAAGAGCCCTTTTCAATCGTTTCTACAACAAAATATTCGTCATCTTTGACACTATTTTCTACATTGGATATATCTGTATTTGACACCTGGTATTGCATTTCTTGGATATTAGAATCCATTGTATCGGGAAATGATTGTACCGATTTTTCAAAAACAATGGATTCATCATAATGTATGCTTTTGGACTCATTTGAATCATCAATATCCATGGTTTCGGAATATTTGTTATTATTGCTAAATTCTACTTCTATATTACACATACCTGTATTTGATTCCTGATACAGCATTTTCGAATCCATCATATCGGTAAATAATTGTACCAATTTTTCAAAATCGATGGATTTATCGCTAATAGCCTCAACGCTTCTCAAATCAATTGATTCGTCAATTGATTCGTCATTATATTTAAAAAATCGAATATCTTGTTCGACATACATATTTGTATTTGACTCGTGACATTGCAATGTTGAGATATTTGAATCTGTCATATCGAGAAATGACTCTACCGATTTTTTTAAGTCGACGGATTCATTGCTAACATCTTCAATGTTTGTCGAGTCAATTAATTCTTCGCTATTTTTTAAAAATCGAACATCTTGTTCGACATTATACATACCTGTATTATAGTTCTGCTCTGTTTTAAAAGCTTTTGAATTCATCGTATTGGGAAATACAACGGATTTCTCAAAATCGATGGATTCATTGCTAACAGTTTGGCACATCTCCGACAACAAGTTTTGTATGTCTTGCTCTCTCTTCTGATTCACTAATAACTTTCGCCTGCAAAGAAAAATTAATAGATTAGTATTTTGTAAAATATTTTTATAAAAATATTAAAATACTCTTGAAAATATAAAATCTCTGAAAAAGTACAGTCGTTTGTTTAAATCTTTATTTACTTGTATTATTAAAAAATATATTATTTAGATAAATAATAATAATTAAAATAATTTATTATTGATAAAATAGATAATACTTTGACAACATAAATACTAAAGCGCACATGCAAATCGCATGTAGTGTTATATTTTTTAAAGTTACCAGCACACGAATAGACCGCCTCTGGATTTTACATAACCAGCACACGAATAGATCGCCTCTGGATAAAATTTTTTCAATAACCAGAACGCACATGCACACCGTTTCTGGGATAAAAAAGTTACCAGCACACGAATAGACCGCCTCTGGATTTTACATAACCAGCACACGAATAGATCGCTTCTGGATAAAATTTTTTCAATAACCAGAACGCACATGCACACCGTTTCTGGGATAAAAAAGTTACCAGCACACGAATAGACCGCCTCTGGATTTTACATAACCAGCACACGAATAGATCGCCTCTGGATAAAATTTTTTCAATAACCAGAACTCACATGCACACCGTTTCTGGGATAAAAAAGTTACCAGCACACGAATAGACCGCCTCTGGATTTTACATAACCAGCACACGAATAGATCGCTTCTGGATAAAATTTTTTCAATAACCAGAACGCACATGCACACCGTTTCTGGGATAAAAAAGTTACCAGCACACGAATAGATCGCCTCTGATACTAATTACTACAATAGTAAAACTACTATTTATATTACTACAACTACTACACTACTACTAATACTATATAATTTTGTTATATATAAATAAAACAATTTTTTAATAAATTATTTTCAGAGATTTTATGTTTTTAAAGTAGCTAAAAAAATACAAGAAAGATTTATGCATTTCTGATTATATATTACACATCAATGTTCAATATTGTTAATTTTATTTATTTTGATATTAATATCTTTTTTTATTAATAATCTCATCACTCTATCATAAATGAAATGCATAAGTCATTCTGTTTTCAATAAATTCAAATATATAAAATTATGTATAATGTATAAAACTTTATATTTTAATATTATTCCAAGTGTTTTATTTTAATTGCCTCAGATAAATAAAAAAAAATGTGGAAAAAATAAAACAATGTTTCCGAGAAAAGTTATATGGTTGAAGGAGAATATATGATGGTACCATTGGTTTATCCTTGGATAATTGCTAGAAGATCGTATAAAGTCATCTTTAATTTTTTAAATAAAACCCACTATTTTTCATTACATATTTTTATAGAATTAATATTTTCCTTTGATAACTGTGTGTTTTTTTACACCAGTTGATTTGTGTAATTATTCTGTGCATAAAAGTATTAGGGTAAGATTATCGGAAAATTAATTGTTTTGTGAGATATTTTGTATCTTATGTAAAAATACTGAAACTTTGAAGCCTTATAATTCGAAAAATACAATGAAAAAATATTTTATTATAGTGTGTTGAAAAAGTATCCAGATAAGCTACAAGAATATGCAAAGTAGCTTTCCATTACAAAATTTAAATATAATTTTTACAATGCAGTGAATTGGTTGTTCCATTTTAATAAATAAAGATGACCTTTCAATGACAATTAATTAAACGAATGACACCATTTTATAGCCCCCTTCGACCAAACAACTTTTATTTAAAACATTTTTCTCTAAAAGATTTTATTTTCGGAATATTTGGCTGTTTCCGAATTTGTGGAAAACTGTAAAATATATTAAAATAAATTTTTTTTTAATATAATAATTATGAAACAATCATACATATATGAGAAATAAAAAAATATAAAAACATGTAATTAATTTAAAAAACAATTTAAATTTCATTTATAATTATAATAATTCATTTATAATTATAATTTATAATAATTTTATTTAATTGAAAATTAATTAAAACATTTTTTTTTAATTTAAAAATTTTAAATAATAAATATAATAAATATAATAAATATAATATAATAAAATATAATAAATTATTTATATAATTACATATTATTGTATATAAAATTTTTATAAAAAAGAACACAAGAAGACAAATTTTATACAGCGAAATATCAGAACTTTGGGTATGTAAAGAAGATCGAATAACTAAGAAAAAAATAATCTACAGATTTACTCATTTTTTCTTTGTGTTGTACAAAATCACAAAAAGATTAGTATATTCAACATGTACGCGATATATTGGCACAGGTGTAATAAATTCATATGTAGATTTAGAAGAATAATAACTGGAATATAGTTTGTAAGTAAAACAAGAGAGATGTAAATATAAACAAATAAAAGTAAGCAGGATGCGTTTATTTAAAATTTTTTAATTTTATTTTAGGGAACTTTTTTTCTTTATTATATATTTTATTTCATAATAATGTAAACAAAAAATGTGAAGCAGTAATAAAATTTATCGAAAAGTATCATGAAATAAATATTACAAAATGTAAAATTTTGTACAGTAAATCAAAATTCTCAAAATATGTATCTATTTTACAATGAAGATACCAATATAGCAAAATTATAAATAAAACAAAAATGACCACATTTGCAAAAATTATTACATTTATTTTTAATCTTTACGCACTCAAAGCTTGGAATTCATTGAGATACTCTGCCTGGATTCGACAAAGCAAATCTGAGACGTTGCAATGCTTTGTTACTTTACTCTATTTTCTTTGCAATAAATAAAAGACAGAATATGTCAAAAGAGGCTCCAGATTTGCTTTGCCGAACTCAAGCTCTGTATAATATTAGGTGAAGTAAAAAGTTCTGAGCGTTTTCCGCTAGATGTCTTTAATGAGCCATATCTCGCAATGTATACATCGCATCGGGTCATACGATACGGCGATTGAAAGGTGACATTACGCTTCAAAAAAGTTCTGTGACAGTTTTGTGTTCGGTCAAGCCAGTTGTGTGTTACAGCGTTCCAAAATGGAGGTAAAAAAAGAGAAAATTCGATACATTCTTCAGTACCACTACGACCAAAGTGAAAAGGCGGAGCAGGCGGCCAAAAAAATTTGTGCTGTTTATGGACCCAATACAGTATCGAATGCAACAGCAAAGCGGTGGTTCCAACGATTCCGTTCTGGTAATATGGACGTCGAAGATGAGGCACGCTCTGGTAGGCCAATCGTCGAAAATGTCGATAAAATCATGGAAATCGTCGAGTCGGACCGGCATGTGAGCACTTATTCCATTGCCCAGGAACTGAAGATTAGCCAGAAAACCGTTTGGAACCATTTGCATAAGGCTGGTCTTGGCCGGATTAACGGCCAAGAAGGTTTTGCTGTGTGTTTGGTGGGATTGGAAAGGGGAATCATCCACTATGAGCTGCTCCCATCGGGCCAAACACTCAATTCGGACCTCTATTGTGAACAACTGACCAGATTGAAGCAGGCGATCGACCAGAAGCGGCCAGAATTGGCCAATAGGAAGAGTGTTGTGTTCCATCAAGACAACGCCAGGCCACACACATCATTAACGACGCGCCAGAAGCTCCGAGAGCTTGGATGGGAGGTTCTATTGCACCCGCCGTATAGTCCAGACTTGGCACCAAGCGATTATCACCTTTTCAAGCATTTGCAAAATTTTCTTGATGGTACAAAATTGGCCTCAAGAGAGGCTTGTGAAAATGAGCTGGTCAAGTTTTTTACGAATAGGGACGAGGACTTCTTTAATCGCGGAATTATGAAATTGCCTTCAAAATGGACAAAAGTTATCGAACAAAACGGCGCATATTTGATCTAAATCGGATAATCCTAACTATGTTCATTTCATCATCGAAATAAAGCGAAAAAACGCTCAGAACTTTTTACTTCACCTAATATATAAAATTTTGTTAACTAACCTTTTTACCCATCCTTTCTTGAATGAAACTCTGCGGCGAGTGAGAGGCAAACATTTCTCATTATATTTCTTTCCCATCACTGTCACTTAGTCTAAAGGTAAAACACTAACAAAAAATACAACACTTCACTACGCGTATACTCCGTTGACACGTAACAACAAGTAACACGTTTTCTCGCGTTATTATCGCGAACAACGTATGTACAGCAGCACGCGATGCGCGCGATCTGCGGGTCATGCGCGTAATAGATATTATTGGGGCGTAAACGAGAAAATAATAATTACTACAGCTCTGATTTTATTCTGTTTTTCGAATACGTATACAGGATGTTTGATATAATAACCGTTTCTGCATATGACGAAAAAAAAATTACTTGTAGGAAATGTTTACATGTAAACTTGCTATTGTACATAATGACACACACACACACACACACACACACACACACACACACACACACACACACACACACACACACACACACACACACCATTATGTACAATAGCAAGTTTACATGTAAACATTTCCTACAAGTAAATGTTTTTTCGTCGTGAATGTAAACGAATAAATACGTTTATATATATGCCGATACAGTTATTATATCGAACATCCTGTATACGTATTCGAAAAACAGAATAAAATCAGAGCTGTAGTAATTATGAAACACTTGATCTAAACGGTTTTTAAAAAAATGTGAAAGTATCCGAAAAATATTTGAAACAAAAATATATATGGTTATTATATGTATAAATCGTTGTGTATTATATCAAGTTTACGTGACATTTTCTATAAGTAAACGCTATTTTTTATGCTGAGATAGTAAACGTTTTTTTGGTGAATATAAACGGATTTACTTCTTTCTCTCTCTCTCTCTCTCTCTCTCTCTCTATATATATATATATATATATATATATATATACAGGGTCTACCAAAAGTGTGGAAACCCCTAAATATCTCGGAAAATATACGTTTTACAGAAAAGTGTTTCCAACAAAAGTTGTAGGGTTTAAGAAGATCTATATACTGATTCTATCAGTTTGACCTTGGATGGCGTCGTCAAGGTCAGGTCAAGGTCACATTGACTTTTTTAAATGACACCCCCTACATTTGATTGCATATTCTTATAGCTTAATTCAAGAGCTTTCCAAAACACTATAATAATGTTCATTTTTATTAAGTACTTTGCGAGTTATGAGGGTTGAATGATAGAGTAGCGCCGGTATTAACATTATCCAAGGTGTACTACATGGAGGTTACTCGCTCGGATTTGCATCTGTTGTGTGTGTGATCCAGCTAACTAAGGCAAGATCGATTCCTCAACATATCCTCATATTTCGCTGAAGTCAAATTGCCAAAAAATTGCTCCATAAAACGTGTATGAAACGTCTCGTTAGTTCCTTCATTTACCGCTATGTGACGCACTACATGCAGTCTAACTCGCATTTAAAATTCAACTAAGAATGTATAAAGCTATCAAAGAACGAGCACCTTCTAACTTCAGCTTTGAGCAAGCAGAAATTAATTGTTATCGTCCAAATACAACGTACGATTAATTAAAATTAAACGTTTTAAAAATGGCTGGCGACTTGTCGGAACGTGAAAGAATCACTATCCTCATGATGCGTGGATGGGGTGATAACGAAAGATCGTTCTCTGATGTCGTTCGATTATTTAATGACACGTATCCGAACCGTCGAATTAATAAGTCCACTGTGTTAAAAACAATAGAACGTTTTAGACAAACTGGTAGCGTAAGAAATCGCTCTAAGTCAGGAAGACCATTGTCTGCAACCAACGAAGAAAAACAACTTGATGTTCTGCAGACATTTATTGAAGATCCCAATTCTAGTGTTCAGAGAGTCGCTCAAACTCACGATATTGCTCCCATGTCGGTTTGGAGAATTTTAAAGAAGAACAAGTTCCATCCATATAAATTGCAATACGTTCAAGAATTGCAAAACGGAGATGAGGAGCGTCGTATACATTTCTGTGAAAGAATGATGGCACTAATAGATGTCCGGCCCATCTTCCCTTATCAAATTGTTTTCACAGACGAGGCAACTTTTACCTTAACGGGAGAAGTTAATAATCAAAATTTTCGTTTCTGGTCAGATGAGAATCCGAATTGGGTGCGGGAAACTCACACACAACATCCACAAAAAATAAATGTATGGTGCGGAATAATAGATGGCTATTTAATAGGGCCGTTTTTTTTTGAAGAATATTTGAACGCTCAAAGGTATGAGAGATTACTTGTTGATCAAATAATTCCAGCCATACAGAATACTTTTCCAAATAATTTCCAAGAAATATGGTTTCAGCATGATGGAGCTCCTGCTCATTTTGGTGCAGGACCACGTCGTATTTTAAATGAGACTTTTCCGCTACGGTGGATAGGAAGAAGGAACGGAAATGAGGGAGGAGAGGATTGGCCACCTCGGTCACCAGATCTAACTCCTCTTGATTATTATCTATGGGGATATCTGAAGAGTAAGGTTTACAGAACAAAACCTAAAACCATTCACGAATTGATACAGCGAATAAGGGATGAAATGGCTTTGATACCTTTTGAAACGAATCGTAAAGTCATTTCTACATTCTACCAAAGATTAGCATATTGTCAGGAAGTAAATGGCAGCCACTTTCAGCATTTACTTTAACACATTGAAACACATTTGCAATCGTTTGGTGCAACCTAACCTGATCTCTGTATACACGCACCGCACGCACGCACACGCACACATTTCGAACAATTATTATGATAAATGAGCATCCACAAATTTATTTACTGTTTACTATGTCGATTGCTTTCCAGGTCTTTAAATGCTTGATTGTAATTTGGTTGGGTCTTTGCTTTTGCTGACTGGATCCACGACCGATCTTGCCTTAGTTAGCTGGATCACACACACAACAGATGCAAATCCGAGCGAGTAACCTCCATGTAGTACACCTTGGATAATGTTAATACCGGCGCTACTCTATCATTCAACCCTCATAACTCGCAAAGTACTTAATAAAAATGAACATTATTATAGTGTTTTGGAAAGCTCTTGAATTAAGCTATAAGAATATGCAATCAAATGTAGGGGGTGTCATTTAAAAAAGTCAATGTGACCTTGACCTGACCTTGACGACGCCATCCAAGGTCAAACTGATAGAATCAGTATATAGATCTTCTTAAACCCTACAACTTTTGTTGGAAACACTTTTCTGTAAAACGTATATTTTCCGAGATATTTAGGGGTTTCCACACTTTTGGTAGACCCTGTATATATATATATATATATATATATATATATATATATTCTCTTTCTTCTAGCGCAAGATGCCTCTCTTATAAAAGAAAAATATTATAATCTATAATGAAAAGATAAATTTAAATTTACGTACTTTTCGTACACATTTGAGTATTTATTATATAGCGACAGTTTGTTCACTTGATTATTTTATCGCGTTACTTACAATAATAAATGAAGACTAAATCAAATGTAAATTTGAATGATAAAATGTAGTTTTTGAAAACTTTATTATATTAATAAAGATAATTTAATTAAATAAATAAGAATTTAATAAAATATAATAAAAATAAATTAAATATGGAGAAATTTTAAATTAAAAACATATCAAATTTAATTAATTTTTTATTAAATTTTATTTTAATTAAATTGCACGCAAAAGAAAATTTATCTTTTCATTAGATTGTAATATTTATCTTTTATAAGATAAGTATTTTACGTTAGAAGAAAGAGAAGAGAGAGAGAGAGAGAGAGAGAGAGAGAGAGAGAGAGAGAGAGAGAACGAATTATTATTTTTATTATTTGCAACGAGGCTACACCAATATGGCGATTATTATCGCCGAACACATGCAATCGCGTCTCTCATTGCGACTCGCGATTTAAAACAATCGAAAAGGCTCATCAGGAGGGGCGCACGTGTAAGGAACGTGTCGCATGAGCCTGCTTCTTTGTGTTGAGTGTCCAATACAGAAGCTGCGTTTTTATACATTCACGCTCTGAAAGGATAATTCTATCTTTCTTACTCATTGCAAGTTAAAAAAAGATAGAATGCTTATTTCGGCTCGTGAGCGCCTAAACCGAACAGAAGCATCGGCGCGAACACGACACGAATATTGCCGAATTTGGCCGATCCGTTCGCCGAGCCGGCTGATCTTCTTTTATTCCGTGGCACGTGGCATGTGAGAGTGTGCAGTTCTCCTGATCGTTCAAGAAAAGCTGCATTATCCTCTTGATTGAGTGCATAATAATTGCAATAACAATAGTTGCAATAACAGTAGTTACTGGAATCGTACATAGGTGTTCTCCTATCCTTTGGATCGTGACAGATCGTTGATAGATAGTGAATAGATCGCAGCAGCAAATTTATAGCAGCGCAAGTATGGCAAGACGTAAGTATATACATCACAGTTCGATTAAATAAATATAATTACATCTCTCTCTCTCTCTCTCTTGCTTTCTCTCTCTCCTCCCCTTCTCTTTCCGCACATATACATATACATAGAAAAAAATTAATATAAAAAAGAATAAAAGAGAATTCTCTCTCTCTCTATATGTATATATATATATATATATATATATATATAGAGAGAGAGAGAGAGAGAGAGAGAGAGAAATAATTAATATAAAAGAGAATAAATTAAATAAACAAAAAAGTAAATGGGAATAAATTACAACACATAACTTACGTTGAGTATTTCACATTAGAACTTCTACGCAGTGCCATCCTTGGTAATTTCTACAGCCTCAAGTTTTGTTATTATTTTTTATGTGGAAGGGCATGGAGGACAGGGCAAAGCCCTATGAACTTCCACCTATGCGTTCTATCTCTGCATAAAAAAAAGATTATGCATTTCAATTTATATATATATATATATATATATATA